CAAAAGGCATCAAAGCCCCTACATCATTTTAACTAATCCATCTTGGCACTTAAGTTTACACTACTCCCTAACCAATATGTAAAACAACAGGAACGATAATAAACAAAGGATAGAATTGAACAATATGAATCCTTGACAAAAAAATATCATTACTTTCCAAGCACTAATTTTATAATATATCATCACAATTTAATTATCAATAGTTGACCACGAAATTTCCGCTGCAGGAAATTTCCGCGACTTAATTAATTTTGACTACATCATCAGCTGTTCAAGTATGGAGCAATCAACCACGAAATTTCCACTGCAGGAGGGACTCATCACACCTAACTAATTAACCCACAAAAGCTAGATAGATAATGACCAGTCAAGAAATTTCTGCCGCGTGCATTTTCGCCACTATATACTACCTCCATTTATAAATATATGACGTTTAGGACAACCAAATTAGTTCAATGAACTAAATAACTTGTCCTAAACGTCATATATTTGGGAGTAGTATTACAGTAGGGAACTTGTTTTGCTTGTACTGTCGTCTATATATATGCGCGTCGAGCGCAGGTATAGCAGCCTCAGCTCAGCTCCCTTGAAGGATCGGAATCTTTGCAAACAAATAATCTAGCTAGACCCGGCCCCTTAAGCTCTCGATCGGCGTGGCAGCTCTTTGATTCATTCGCGGGAATACTCAAATTAATATCCGCCCCGCAGATATCTAGCTGGTGCGGCCGGACGACGCAGGTAAACTAAAAATACTCCTACATCAATTCCCTTAGTTCACTAGCTAGCGCCCATGGCGTGCTGCATCATTAATTGTTCATGTGTCGATATGTCTAGATGGATATGCATGCAGTGTTGGTTTACTTAGGATCGGAAGACGTACGTGTAGCACTTGCTTGTCTTCCTTCTTGGTTTTTTTTTTATAAACTACCCCCTCCGTCCCTAAATAAGTGTCCTTTAAAAGCAAGTACAGTAATAAGCTTATAGCTAAGCTAATCAGTATTTTTGTTGATGTGAAGAAGAGAAGAAAGGAAAGAGAGGAGAGCTTGGCTCCCATGTAAACAACAAGCTAGGCACGGAAGCATAGACATAGTGGGTCCCAATAGAAATGTATGTGAGTAGTAATAGGAAATAGAATGAAAACATGTACTAATAAAAAAAGTTTGTAGACAAATAGAAGACTAACTATTGTATTGCTTAGCTCTTATAACTTGGCTTATAGCCAAGTACTTGGCTCTATTATTGACCCTTCTCTTAGAGCAAGTTCAATAATAGAGCCAAGTGTTTGGCTATTAGCCAAGTTGCAAGAGCCAAGCTATATAATAGTAGTCTCTTATTTTTCTATCATAAACTTTTTTTATTATTAGTTTTACACAGCTTCATCTTCTCTTTCCTAATCCTCCTCACACTCATTTAGTATATGGACCTAGCATTGTCTATGCATCCATGCCCAGCTTGTTGCTTGCATAAGAGCTAAGCTCTCATCTTTCTCCTCCATTCTCTCCTTCACATCAGCATTTGTTTAGCTATAAGCCAATTATTGTACCTGCTCTTAGGAGTTGGGCATGGGAATTAAGGAAGAATGAAAAAGTAGAGAGCGCACAGGAAGCGAGGAGGGGTGGAAGAGGAGAGAGATAAAGATAGAGTTGTATTGGAAAGCGAGAAAGACATTTATTTAAGGACAAATTTTGAATCCTAGAAGAACACTTATTTAGGAACAGATGGAGTAGTAAGGTGGCCTGCACATTTACGTGGCTAGATTTGTTTTAATTAAAAAGTAATTTTTTACTTTATTAGTTTCCTTTTAATATCAGCATTTCATTGACTGTAGCTGTCTATTTTTTGTGTATAGTCTCTACAGTCACATGGTCCATCAATCTAATAACGTCAAACTCATGTCGTCAATATGTATATGGTTTTTTTAGCTATTGATGATCGAAGCTAAAACATTTTAATATATTACTTATCACATAGCTATATTAAGTTTCATCACCTGGGTAATTACTGTGTTATATATATCCTGGACCATCTAAATAAATGAAGTATTTATTTCTTTTATGTTGGTTAATGATCGACCTCATGTGTACCCTCAATTTATCAATTATATGTGTTGGCACCTTTTTTTGTGACTAATTAATTGTTGTGTCTGCTTCTGGTCCTACGTGTTTTTGTGTATTAGCCTGAAATAATATTTTCTGGCGTGTTACCATGCTTTGGATTTGTACCTTTTCATTAAGTTTTTTATTTTTATTTTATTCAAGGAAATATTTCATTATATGAACAAACTTTTCTACCGTTGCTAAATACTGCGGAGGTGATGATAAGCCGTGTAGAAAGAACAAAAAAAAAATGGGGCTCAGATGTGTGCATTACTCAGTCTGACCTAATTGAGTTAATTGGACTTTTGGTAATCTGCCCCTTGTTCCCCTTTGAGATCCTGCTTAAACAGCATAATATGTATGCAGTAGTGCCAACTATTCAGGAGTAGTAGCTCATGATAGGTTATATATAGTAATCACCCAGCAAATCAACTTTGCACATCAGTCCCTAATTCCAAGCGGCACAGCAGAATAACCTTGTCCTTCCGATCCAGAGTTATTTATATCTGAGCCCAACCTGGCAACAGGCGCAGACCTTTGTTGCACTACTACTCAAAGGCAGCATAAGCAAAGCTACCATGCATGGGTTCTTCAGTGTCGGAAGAGAGGTGGATGCCGATGCATGGAGCCACTAAAATAGACCAGTCTCTGAATTTCCAACGTTGTGAGCATGAGGTGTTCCTGAATAGATCGATAATACCTTCATTAGAACCAAGCAATGCAAATTAAACGAACGGTAAACACTGTTGGAGTACGTGATGGTCATTTGACCCAACGTGCCTACCTTTGACTGTATATCTCATAGCGTTTGGAGCTAGTCCTGAATCTCGAACTTGTTTGGCTGAGCTAGGGCCCAACGCACAACTTCCTGTGCTAGCGGAGATGCTGCAGGGAGCTGCATGACTTGCGTTAAAGCTTGGCAGCTTGCAACGTCTTCCTGCTTGCCTGCTTTGCTGCTCCGATCCTTTCTTTATGACATATATCTGACGACCAAATTTGCACATCATATCGAAGCTCACGTTGCTGTCGTCGGATCGGATCGGAGAAGCACAACCATTGGCTTCCGGCCGGTGATATAGTACAGCTGTACAGGCTTCCAGCTCTTTGCTGAAACTGATCTGCCTCCGCGCTCTTTGTTGCACGCAACCTAATCGGGTGCAGAGGAGCCACAGGACCATTGGCTTGGCATCACCTTGCAATTCTTGGGTCTCTTAGATCTGGAGAGATACTTGGGCTGATTATTCCATCATCAGGGGGTGCGTCACGCTAGCTTCGCCGGACCTCGTTCGCATCCGACGGTTGCTACATCAGCTTCCCAGAGTCCTCGAGGCCGTTGCGCGCTACCACTTCCGCCGCTGCAGACTCTTGCAATCACTGTACCGGCTGGACACAGTGTCAATGGCGACGGCGTCTCGATCTCTCCATGACGCGTGGGAACCCTTGAAAGCTTCCTGCTGTTATGATATGCTTGCTTTGCATCACGATTGATGATTACCTAATAAAGTTTGATAGATTGTATTCCAACATGGTAAAATAATCTCGTATTTCCGGATTTGACATTTTGATATGTCTCCTGGTCAATTCAAATACACATATGTGATCCATCTCGCTACTATCTAATACAAAGGATATTATATCTTTAGTCCGTTCATCAAATACATAATAGGATAATCTTTCTTGCCATCATATCACAAATCAATCACAGTCGTACCCACTAAAATCAATGGTAGTTATTTTTTTCTAGTTTCTACAATTAACGTGGTAATTTCTAAGCCTTGAGAGCAAGCGTGGAGGCTTCTTTTGTTGGCCAAATTCTAAGATAACTAGTAAAGTGACCCACGCATTTGCGCGGCTAGACACATAATTTGTTCCTCCCTCTTGGATCTTTTCAATTTGATTTTGTTACTTTTCAAGCACTTTGATTGGTATTGCAAAGCAAGTGAATACGTCATGATCTTTTTTTTCCTGTATATTTTTAGCTCCGGATGCAAGTCATCATACACACCGTAAACTTATTAATATATGACCTATGGGATACATACAATCTACTGTTATTAAGAAATTCAGTGGTTACTTTGTAAAAAAAATGATAGTAAGAAGCTATAAAATCCATGTGTTTTTCTTAACAAATCTAATAATTCAACTTCTATGCACCAATCCACGTACATTTTCTTAGAATAATGGCTTAACGTGAGAGTACAACAATGCTTAATGAGCAAAGGGACTGTTTACTTTAGTTTCTCGGATGGCTCTAGCAATGGCAGATGCCACAACTCTAGCCTCAAGGTGCTCCTTGGCAGTTGATATTGCTTTACCGACCTCAACCGATCCTTGCTCCTTGATGCGACCTACACTGACCGCCACCGTGTTCGTGATAGTGTTCCTCATCCATCTGGTTCTCCCGTTATTTTCATCCATATGGTTCTCCTGTTATTTTAGAGTTTGATTCGGCTAAGCTCTAAACGATCTTATTTGATGATCTTATCAAGCGTATATTTATCTCTTTTTTTTATTGCGAGGGAAGAATATACTTATCTCTTTTGTTACAGAGATAGCATGAATCGGATCCCCATGTCTCGCACAATCAATTCTATCTTGTACAACTAATTTAAACCTTTTGTCTCCCGGTCGGATTTATTATTTTCTTTCCTTTTCATAGTGAGTAAGGGTTCACGTGGGAGATATTTTTTAAAATTACTAAGAAAACATTTTTTAAATTGCAATGCTTGGTATTTATGGATAGACTTAGGGGTATTTTGGGCTAATTTTATCATAATGGCAGTGGCGGGTAATTTTTATTTTCCTTTTTTTGATTATTCTACGCCTTGAGAGTGAACGTGGAGATTTCTTTGGTTGGTCAAACACTAAGATAATAGAGGATGAAACGATCCATGAATTGTATGCATGGGGACGGACATATTTTGGTTTGATGATGAGATGAACCGGCAGGCACAAACAGTACGTGAACGTACCATCATCATTATCATCATCATCAGTAGTGATATGATCGATATGATGGAGAGCGATTATATTATTATTAGCAGGTCGGCCGGTCTTCCCAAAAATCGGACACAAAAACCCTACTCACCTCGCCACGATCGATATATGTTAGTTGCGGCCTGTTATACCTTTTATGTTCTGAGTATATGCATCATCTTGTTCACTGTCCTGCGTTGTAAAACTTTGAACTACCTCTTCTTTTAATTTAATACTAATATGTGTAGCTCTACTGCGTACTCCCTCCGTCCCGCAAAGGAAATCATTCTAGCATTTGAAATTTATCCGTCATTCTAGGAGAAGTGGGCTCGGTATTAAGGCCCCGTTAGGCACGGCTACACTTCACCCATGAAGCCCTTTTTTGGTGCTTCAGCTTCATGAACAGCTCCATGGGTGGAGCCGTAGCAGTTTTGATAAATCGTTTGGCAAAACAGTTTCACATATAGTTTTTCTTAAAATATGCTCTCAGAGAACGCCGTGTAGAATGAGGTGAAGCCGAGAGAAGCCACTATTTTTGGCTCATTTCCACCCCAAAGCTCTGTGAGAGCACGTTTTTAGGGGCTTCATCGGTCGAGCCGTTTTATTTTACCCCGTTTGACAGAAAACGGCTTCAAGCGGCTTCTAAAGCCGCTAGAGAAGCCCTGCCAAACGGGGCCTAAATCATGCCTCTATTGGACTTTGCATGCATGCGCGTGGGGATTTGCCAACTGCACACATCATTGGTTGAGAGCTAGCTTGCATGCATGCATGCACACACAAAACTAAGAGTTTCCTTGTACTCCATAATTGTCTACCTCCTCAACACTAATCTGTCTTAAAAATGTTCGAATGGCTTCCTTTGCGAGACACAGGGAGTATTTGACAGAGAGAAAATTAAAATTAATGATCTGTTCATGATGACATCCAAGCCGCTGTGAGTCATATGATGACCATGTTTCTGGATCATGAGCGACCACCAAATTAATTGCATGGCTTCCATCGTATTGATTGGTCAGCTTTATTATCAACTAATCATGCAGGCTGAAACTTCGCCATAATAATACAAGTGCGAGTCGTTGTGTTATTTGTTTCCCTAAAATAAAACAATCAATAATTTGTTTATTTTGTTATCAGGCGGTTCTTCTTCCACTACCAATAATGGGGAACAAAGTTGTGAAAGAGGACGAGAAGGGAAAGGGGAAGGAGACGACGGAAAGTAAGAATACAAAAAAGACCCATGAAAAGTCGTCTGACAATGACAACGAGCATACAGGGAAGACTGACCCTGGCACCGGTGATAAGTTGATACAAAACATGAACCGTAGCAGTACAGGGAAGAGTGACTATGGCACTGGCACCCAAAGTGATAAACAATCTAAGGAGAAGGGAAAGGGGAAGGAGACGATGGAGAGTAACGATACAAAAAAGACCCATGAAAAGTCGTCTGACAATGACAACGAGCGTACAGGGAAGACTGACCCTGGCACCGGTGATAAGTGGATACAAAACATGAACCGTAGCAGTACAGGGAAGAGTGACTATGGCATTGGCACCCAAAGTGATAAACAATCTAAGGAGAAGGGAAAGGGGAAGGAGACGATGGAGAGTAAGGATACAAAAAAGACCCATGAAAAGTCGTCTAACAATGACAACGAGCGTACAGGGAAGACTGACCCTGGCACCGGTGATAAGTGGATAGAAAACATGAACCGTAGTAGTACACAATATGAGGAGAATAGAAAGGGGCAGGGGAACATGGAGAGTCAGAATTTAAAGACCCCTCCAAAGTTGTCTGACAGCATGACCAGTGAGAACAAGCCTATTGGGAAGAGTGACAATGGCATTGGTGCTAAATTGATACAAAACATGAACGATAGCACCCAAAGTGATCAACGGTAACAGAGGAAGGTAATCAAACAAGAAAGAAGATTAATGCCAACAAGGTAAAGGTTGGCAGAACTAGGGCTCTTAAATAACGTGGAGCGCGGTAGTTGATGGGGCTGTATACAGCAACGGAGGATGTGGACTGGTCTTCTCTTTCTTACTAAGAGAAGAGAATGATGCTGAGCATTCTGCTCATAATGCAAGCAACAAGCCTTGCAGCTCTGTAATTATGTTCCTTTTTTAAATTTTTCTTAATTTGATATATGTGGTGTGAAAACATTAGTTGTTATCCATATTATGTGAAATTTGTATCATTTCAAATAAAATGGATTTTGCTTTGTAGAAATTTGTAATGGCTTGTTCTACTGCTAGTTGCGAACGATCCGCTTTAAGTGGCATTTGTAATTAGCAGGGGTAAGACCGTAAGCATTTTTCTTTTTGCGTGACTCAATACAAACACAAACACTCATATAAATGCACACACACTCATCCCTACAAACGCACGCATGCAAATTAACACTAACCCTATGAGCACCTCTCAGAGACTGAGGTAACCCAACAGATGTTGAGATTGATGAAGTCACCACATGCATATCGCTATCAACATGCATGCCACCTACCACTGAAAAAATAGCACCGTTAAATCTTACAATAAATCCAGGGAAAGGTGAACTTACCTACCCGTGCCAAGTCGAGAACTTAAAAGCAGGTGACAGATTCCTCCACAAGGAATAGCTGTTGCAATTATACTAGCAATTGTATAGTACTCAAACAAACCAACTAGATCAATATCGTTTGTAATTTTGTATTTTTCCAAAAGAAAACTATATCCAAATTCTCGACGGACCACTAATCATCTTGTCTCCAAATAGATGAGCTCAAAATACTCATCCTGTTGCTTTCACTTGCACTTCTTCTAAATGCTTGCCGCATTTTAGTGCATATTTCCTATATATATATATATATTATATATATATATATATATATATATATATATATATATATATATATATGTGTGTGTGTGTGTGTCACTAGTAGAGAAACGAGCTATACTTCCGGTTCTCAACATCTTCAGTTCCGGTTTTGGAACCGGGAGCACGAATCCAGGACTAAATGGCCACTCCTTTACTCCCGGTTTCGCGTCTGGGACTAAAGGTCCACCTTTAGTCCCAGTTGGTAATACCAATCGGGGCTAAAGAGGCCTCCCGGCCCTTTAGTCCCGGTTGGTACCAACCGGGACTAAAGGTTTTTTTTTCTATTTTCAATTGATGATTCATTTTGCTTTTCGAATAGGTTTTCGAATACGTAGAAATGCATTCTACGCTGCTAATAATATACGTATTCTACACGTTTATAATGTTCAAACATTTTGTACAAACTAAAGTATGAAACTAACGTATATATTACATGCATATACATATATTGTAGGTTATTTTATGTACATATAATATGTATATATATATATATTACAAATAAAGCTTGCATTACATATTCTATTATATCCTTGGGATAACAAATTTACTCCATCTGGTTTAGCTTCCATGTTTGGTTGACGTCATTGTAGAACTCGCCGGTAGGGTTTAGGACCTGGTCATTAAGAAATCCTGCTATGGTCTCTTGAATTGCTTTCAGTTGGTCACGTCGTATGACTTTTTCCTTGAACCATAGAGTCTTCAATAAAAGTTAAAGGAAAAGTATTAATATATATATACATATATGTGTGTGTTGGTCACGTGATTACTTATATATATGAGCAATAAAAGAAATTGTGAATATATGAATATATTTATATAACGTACTTTGAGGTTCTCTTCAGGAGTTCTTTTTGAGTACGCCATGATGAACTCGCAAACATAGTATTCTTAGTAGTTGTTCCTCTGTTCTTGCCTCAGAACCCACTTTTACGAGAAAAAAGATCCGGTGAATTAAAAGCATGCATGGTGTTAATTGAATTATATATATATATATATAAATGTAGCTAGTACTTACTTTATGTGCGATTACATCTAGTGGCGCTTGCAATGTTTCATGTGGTGTTTCTCTATGAAACTTTTTCAAACACTGCTCCCAATAAAATAAAAAATTAATTTGGCCTTTAATAATTATTGCAATTAAGAGATCGGGGTATATATAGTTGCTAGAGAGACCAAATTACCCTTGGATAATATCTATCATGTCTTGGTACTCTGTTTGCTCTTTTCTTAACGAGTCTAAGATGCTCAACCGACTATTGGCCATATCGATGACCATCAATATCCAGTGATTGCTGCATATGTTTTTATACACAAATATGATCGACATTAACTAGAGTCAACATATATATATATGGGAGATAGCTTAGCTAGTAAGCAAATAATTGAACAAATGTCCATATGATCGACATTAATTATTTATCACTCACTTGAAGTTGTAGGGGAAGAGTATGTTCTTGTTTTGTTGGTTCACTTTTCTCGAGTTCATGAGATTTTTCTCGAGTTCAGTTTTTCATTGAGGCGGGGGATCAGGGTGTTTGAATACGACATTTGGATCAACGAAACCAATATCATTATTCTTTCTCTTTCTGAGTTCAGTCATCTCATATCTGCATATATAAAAATATAGTGCGAGGATATATAATTTATATATATACATGTAGCTTTATATATATACATTTTAATAGTAGAAAATAATCACACTTACAGACAATAGCAGCTAATGAGATTTTTGTCGAGAGAGTCCAGGTGGTATAGTTGGTGTAATTCTAAAAACTCGACATATATAACGTCATCGCCATAGAAGTAATGTTGGTTTCTAACTCTGACAGAAACAAAGTTCTCTCGCCATTCACACGTCGCCATGTACCACTTGTTTAGCAGGTACATTTGCGTACCCAGTTCACCTAAGACCTCAGGGTTGTATAGACTCTTTCTATGTTTAAATTTCTTCCAAGGATCCACTTTCGGAGCAGATGGTCCTTCAGCGAGCACTTGGGCAAGGTCCAAACCAGTATCCTCGTAAAACCGAACCAGGTCCTCAAAATCGACGTCCTGTAAGTCTAAGTTTGAACCATATTCATTACGAATGACAAGAGGGGGGACTGATTGTTACGATTGTTGTCTAAGTTGTGCAACACCTTTCCCTGCTCTAGTCTTTTTCTACGTCGCCTCAAATGACTTGGTGTGAGAGCGGTCGTAGTCCGATTTTGGCAGGGCCTTTTGAGATTCCCGCTATTTTTGGTCCACCTTCTTTCTTAGAAGATCTGGAGGTAGGTACAAGTACGGTTTCTCCGGGTTCTCCCTCGCTTCTCGTTGCTTTCTTACTTTTTCGAAGAAACTTTTCACATTTTTTTGTACTGCATCCTTTAATTCCTTTTCACTTTTCTCGTAAGACAGTTTTTGGGGAATAACTAGATTAGAGGAGGCTTTCTTCTTTGCCGGCTGGTGGCCCAACGGCTTCGTTTGCGGGGCGGACCTCTTAGGAGTTGGCTGCTTCTTGATCATCAAGGGAGGCGTTGGAGACCTCCTTGGAGGTGGCGGCGGTGGAGACCTCCTTGGAGGCATTGGAGACCTCCTTGGAGGTGGTGGCGGTGGCGGCATTGCATAATCATTGCCCGGAGTACTATGATGATCTAGAGATTGAATAATTGGACTTAGGTTGGTGGAGGCCCTGCTGTGTGAGTACAAAAAAGAATAATTAGGTATAAGAAATTATTATTATTAATCATGCATGTCAATAGAAAATTAGTGAAAAATTTGTTTCGTTCACTTTTGTCCGCACCTATTGTCTGGCAGTTGAGGAAGCGGCGATGGACTAGAGACCCTGGGAATAATGATGTAGCGCTTGCGCCATAGTATGAATGTCTTCTCTGCTTCTCCTAGAGTCTTTTCCCCATCACCTCCTGGAATGTCAAGAGTTAGATCACTAAAACCTTTGTTAACTCTATCCACTGAGACGCTAACATATCTAGGTGGTATTATTGCCCCATGAATTCTTGGTGTCTTGGTAGGATCTGGAGGAGAAAAAACACCGAGAGCCACCATCATTGTGGCATTCTCTTTTAGAATATGTAGCTCACATGATGTAAACGGTGTAGTGATGTCATCCACGGGGAAACGTAGCATTACGTCATCATGATTTGGCAACCCCGTGGAAGCGCAGCTGCTTTTCAACTGATCAGGGGGGCTAATATTAATGTTGATTCCTTGATCTAATGCTTGTCTTTTGGCACTCATTGCTATTTGCACTTGCTTTATGATTTCGTCCTGCATTCTAGCTTGCATGTCTTTTTCGCGCTCCTGTGCTTGAAGCAACGCCTCCCGTGACTCACAAACTAGTTCCTCCAAACTGCTGATCCGCGCTGCATCCTCATCCTTCCTTCTCTGCTGGCTTCTATAGGTATCTCTGTCATTAGAGAAACCATGCTCCCAAGAAATGTTCCGTCCTAAACCTCTCATTCGGCCACTGTGTTCAGCAGTCCTGATGGCATATGTCAGTTCATCCTTCTCTCTATTGGGCCTGAACGCACCAATAGCTTTAGCTTGTAGAGCATAAGAAAATCTTTGTGTTGCTCTTTTGAGTTTTGGTCCATGAACCAGCTTCCCGGTCTCTAGGTCCAGTCTTCCTCTATGAGCGAAAAACCAATTCTTCATGCGTTTGGGCCAATCGAGTGATTCTGATGTGATACTCTTGGCAAGAATGTCCGCTTCCATTTTCTCCCACTTAGGAATGGTAGTCGCGTAGCCACCTGATCCCATGCCATGGTGGTATACCTTCTGTCGGGCATTCTCTTGGTTCATTCTCACCCGTTCCTCACCCTCTTTCGATGTCTTGTACTATACAAAATCATTCCAGTAGGGCCTCAACTTCGCGAGCGGGCCGCTAGTATTGAAATTGGGCGTTAGGTTCTTCTTGACGTATTTCGTGTATAGGGATTTCTTCCAAGTCTGGAATTGTGTGGCCATCTTCTTCATAGCCCACTTCCGAACTAGTTCCTTCAATTCATCATCGTTAATAGCATCATAATCATCCGCTTGCAA